GTGTGTTTTCCTTCTGGGCCCACCGAAGAAGAGAACTGCAGACTTTTCAAAACAGCATCCATTTTGCGTAGCCGAGGAAAGAGGACCAGAAAGAGGACAGAGTAAGAAAAAAGTGAGATGTTCCGGAACTGAGTGTCAGGTTCTCCTCTCCTAGGATGGCCTTTGATGACTTCTGTAGATACTTCACCGACATCATCAAATGCCGCCTGATCAACACATCCTACCTGAGCATCCATAAGACGTGGGAAGAAGCCGTCTTGAAGGGCGCCTGGACGCGGCACGAAGACCCTTTGAAGAACCGCTGTGGAGGCTGCATCAACAACCGGGAGACTTTCCTACAAAACCCCCAGGTAGGCAAGTCAAGAGCAGGGGTCTTCAAACGTGGCCCTTTTTATGACTTGTGGACTTCAACTCCCAGAATTCCTCAGCCAAGCGTGCCTGGCTGAGGAATTCTGGGAGTTGAAGTCCACAAGTCATGAAGGGGCCATAGTTCCCCCATGCTGGCTCAGGAAGTAATAATAATAATAATAATAATAATAATAATAATAATAATAATAATAATAATAATAAAGTTGGAAGGGACCTTGGAGGTCATCGAGTCCAACCCCCTGCTCAGGCAGGAAACCCTATCCCATTTCAGACAAATGGCTGTCCAGTCTCTTCTTAAAAACTTCCAGTGTTGGAGCATTCACCGCTTCTGGAGGCAGGTGGTTCCACTGGTTAATTGTTCTAACTGTCAGGAAGTTTCTCCTTAGTTCTAGGTTGCTTCTCTCCTTGATCAGTTTCCATCCGTTGCTTCTTGTCCTGCCTTCAGGCGCTTTGGAGAATAGCTTGACTCCCTCTTCTTTGGGGCAGCCCCTGAGATACTGGAAGACTGCTATCATGTCCCCCCTCGTCCTTCTCTTCCTTAAACTGGACATATCCAATTCCAGCAACCGTTCCTTATATGTTTTAGCCTCCAGTCCCCTGATCCTCTTTGTTGCTCTTCTCTGCACTCTTTCTAGAGTCTCAACATCTTTTTTACATCGTGGTGACCAAAACTGGATGCCGTATTCCAAGTGTGGCCTTACCAAGGCCTTGTAAAGTGGTATTAACCCTTCACCTGATCCTGATTCTCTCCCTCTGTTAATGCAGCCCAGCACTGTGTTGGCCTTTTTGGCAGCTGCAGCACACGGCTGGCTCCTATTTAGGTGATTGTCCACTAGGACTCCGAGATCCCTCTCACAGTTACTACTATTGAGCAAGGTACCCCCTATACTATACCTGTACATTTGGTTTTTCTTGCCTAAATGTAGAACCTTACTTTTTTCACCATTGAATTTCAAAGGGGCCATGGTTCCCCTATACTGGCTGGGAAATTCTGGGAGTTGAAGTCCACATATCTTAAAAGTTGCTACTGTTGGGAAACACTATAACAGTGTATTTCTATGTTCGTGCAAAGAGATCTCCATTGTAGGTATAACCTGAGATTTTGCTTCTGTTTCTTACCTTGGTTTCTTTTGTGGCTGTATCATCTCGAGTTGCCTTGTTGTGGTTCAACACTATTTGATTGCAGGTTTCATTATTGAGAATTAACCGCTGCTTCACACACAAACCCTGCTCACAGGATTGCATTGGGGGCATTTGTCGTGTCACCGCCATTTGCTATGTTTTTAAATCTTGTCCAGCAGAACGTGGCCCCCCCCCAAAAACCTGTTGGATTCACTTAATGACTGTTTGATTCACTTAACAAACTTGCTTTTCTCTTCTTGGTTTGCTCACCTGGCTCACTTCAGAAGGTCTGATCCTCTCTTTTTCACCCAGTACGTTTTCGATGTGAAGAAACCAGACGACGAAGTGTTGGTTTGCATCCAGCAAAAGCCCAAACGGACCAGCCAGAAGGAAGGGAAAGGAGAAAACCTCGCCATAGGATTTGACATCTTCAAGGTAAGCTGGGCAATCAACTTCTGATTAGATCTTTGGATGTGGCCAGAATGGACCATTCTGATTTAACTGTAGAGCAGTGTTTCGCCTCCTTGGCAATGTGCAGATGGGTGGACTTCAACTCCCACAATTCCTCAGCCAGGAGTTGAAGTCCTCCCATCTTCAAGTCGCTAAGATTGAGAAAGGTTGAGAATTTGGGGAGTGGAAGTCCTCCCATCTTCAAGTCGTCAAGGTTGAGAAAGGTTGAGAATTCTGGGAGTTGAAGTCCTCCCATCTTCAAGTCGCCAAGGTTGAGAAAGATTGAGAATCATGGGAGTGGAAGTCCTCCCATCTTCAAGTCGCCAAGGTTGAGAAAGATTGAGAATCATGGGAGTGGAAATCCTCCCATCTTCAAGTCGCCAAGGTTGAGAAAGATTGAGAATCATGGGAGTGGAAGTCCTCCCATCTTCAAGTCACCAAGGTTGAAGAAGGTTGAGAATTCTGGGAGTTAAAGTCTCCCATCTTCAAGTCGTCAAGGTTGAGAAAGGTTGAGGATTCTGGGAGTTGAAGTCCTCCCATCTTCAAGTCATCAAGGTTGAGAAAGATTGAGGATCATGGGAGTGGAAGTCCTCCCATCTTCAAGTCGCCAAGGTTGAGAAAGATTGAGAATCATGGGAGTGGAAATCCTCCCATCTTCAAGTCACCAAGGTTGAGAAAGATTGAGAATCATGGGAGTGGAAGTCCTCCCATCTTCAAGTCACCAAGGTTGAAGAAGGTTGAGAATTCTGGGAGTTGAAGTCCTCCCATCTTCAAGTCACCAAGGTTGAAGAAGGTTGAGAATTCTGGGAGTTAAAGTCTCCCATCTTCAAGTCGTCAAGGTTGAGAAAGGTTGAGGATTCTGGGAGTTGAAGTCCTCCCATCTTCAAGTCATCAAGGTTGAGAAAGATTGAGAATCATGGGAGTGGAAGTCCTCCCATCTTCAAGTCGTCAAGGTTGAGAAAGTTTGAGAAGGTTGAGAATTCTGGGAGTTGGTCCTCCCATCTTCAAGTCGCCAAGGTTGAGAAAGGTTGAGAAAGGTTGAGAATTCTGGGAGCTGAAGTCTTCCCATCTTCAAGTCGCCAAGGTTGAGGAAGGTTGAGAATTCTGGGAGTTGAAGTCCTCCCGTCTTCAAGTCGCCAAGGTTCAGAAAAGTTGAGAAAGGTTGAGGATTCTGGGAGTTGAAGTCCTCCCATCTTCAAGTCGCCAAGGTTGAGAAAGGTTGAGAAGGTTGAGAATTCTGGGAGTTGAAGTCTTCCCATCTTCAAGTCATCGAGGTTGAGAAAGTTTGAGAAAGGTTGAGAATTCTGGTTGTTGAAGTCCTCCCGTCTTCAAGTCGTCAAGGTTGAGAAACATTGTTGTAGTCCTTCTCCTAATTCCTTCTCTGATTTTTTTTTTTTATTACACCCAGGTGGAACTCAACCGGACGTACCGAATGCACACTTTACAGACCAAAGTTGCCACCTCCATCTACATCAATTCCCGTAGTGTCTTCCTGAGGACGGATCTGAAAGAAGGTCGCTATGTCATCATACCGACCACTTTCGATGCTGGCCATGTGGCCGAATTCCTGCTCAGGCAGTTCACAGACGTGCCTTCTGAGTGCCAGTAAGGACTGGTGGGGGGGCTTCAACCTGTCTTCCCTTCGAAAGAGGCTGGGGGGGGGGAGCAGATCAGGGAAAACAGGGTAGAAATCACCTTTGGAATTCACTGCCTCATTTATTTATTTATTTATTTATATTTATATTTAAACTTCTATGCCGCCCTTCTCCCCAGAGGGACTCAGGGCGGCTCACAGCATGTTAAAAAACAACACAAAAAAACATTTCCCCTATAAAACCAATTAAAAGCAAATATATTAATAGCTGTGTCATATTTAAAATCTTTGAAAATTTTTAAAAATTATTCCCTATTTAAAATTCACCCTAGGTCAGTCC